TAGGTGGCTTTGTGCTTTTGTTTACTAGCATGTCTAAGAGCTCCCTTGTTGCTTAATGTACTAGTGGCATATGTTTGTGTGACATTGCTCCTAGAATTGGTTAGGAGAGCTTTAGCTAGCCCTGCACCTTAGTTGCTTAATTAGTATATTTGAAAGGTGCTAGAGAACATAGATAGGGGGGCGTAGTCAGTTTTAATTCCGCACTTATTTTGGTTTGCCGACGCGATTAATTTTAAAAAGAACTATTCACCCCCCCCTCTAGTCGCCATCTCAACCCTTTCAACATATCACAACTCAATTGGATGCTCACCTTTCAAGGCACTCTATGGGTATGGTCCCAACCTGGGAATTGATATCTCCATTCTTTCAACCACTCCACCAACAATCACTGAAGTCATTGAGCATAGAGAATTGCATCTACAACTCCTCAAACAGAGATTAGAACAAGCACAGAATAGAATGAAATCTTTTGCTGACAAGAACAGGTCTGATATGGAGTTCTCGGTTGGTGATCAGGTATTGCCGAAGCTCCAACCTTATACTCAATCCTCAATGGCCAACAGACCCTACCCCAAGCTGTCCAACAATTTTTTTGGTCCATATAAGATACTCAAGCGCATTGGTACTGTGGCTTATCGCCTAGAACTTCCCACTGATAGTATGATTCACCCGGTATTCCATGTGTCTCAATTCAAACAGTTCCAACCAGATTATACACCGGTCTTCTCAACACCGCCAATGATGACTGACCTCCAGGCTTCAGCAGCACAACCCTCTCAGGTGCTGGAACGTTGCTTGGTAAGAAAAGGTAACAATGATGTGACACAGGTGCTCGTGACTTGGACAGGGTTACCATCGTCATCAATTACTTGGGAGGATTACTCCGTTCTCAAGCTTCGGTTCCCCGACGCACCTGCTTGGGGACAAGCAGATTCTTCAGCGAGGGGAGTTGTCACACCCCAGGCGTAAAGCGAAGTGAAGGCGTATTCGTTGAGGAAAAGCGTATTTAGGCTATTTATGTAATCACATCAGTATGACGTGTTAGCAGCAAGGGGGACTAGGATCAGAGGAATCAGGAAGCAAAGCAATTAGGCGAGGAACAGAGGAATCTCAATTCAGTTGGGCAAATAGTTCAACACATGTTCATACAATGAGAGCTAGAACATGGGATGGGAAGCACAGCAAGGGGATCGGATCAGAGAGGAAGACTTGAGGAGGAAGATGAACAGTAAATGAAGGAAGAGGAATTCTGATATTTTTCTTCGATGCCTTCGTCTGGACTCCACCGAAGCCCTTTGTAGCCAGCAGGCGGACCATCGCCAGCCTGCTCCTCCTAGGCCCACATGGTAGTGATACTAACACGGGAGGGGGAGGAAGCTGAAGCGGCGGTATGGACTGATCCTTTTCGCCATCCACGAATCCGGCCCTCTCTCAAGATCCATGCACACGAATATGGGCCACGTCAAGATCCAGCCCATTCAGCCCACGAATCCGATCTCATCAGACCCATTTCCACAGCTAATCCTTTAGAATCCATACAAGACAGCCCATTCAGTTGGGCGCCCGTACAGCCTTTGGATCGACAAGGCCCATTCCCAGGCAGCACAATGAGAAATAATGAGCGCAAACGAATTGTGAAAAATAAAGAAAAAATAGAGATTCGAACTTATTTTATAAATATTCATATTCATATAAAAATAATAAATTTCAGGTACACGTGTGCAAGTTGGTGTGGCTTGACATGGGCTTGAGGCAGAGGAATGGAGGGAGTAGAGCGTCTGTTGGATAACCTGAAGCTGTTAGTGGCAGAGAGGAGAAGCATCATATCGATCCCGAACTTGAGGAGAAGCAATGAAGCATCCATATTGTTTCTCGTGGGCCTTTCGTTATTATACGCATATCATATTTCACAATCTGTGTTGATGCTCCTGTAGTGAACCATTTCATTTATGATAATGGATTTTGACTTAGTCACTTAGACAACATGTGACGTACTTTAATTTGACTGTTTAATCTTATATACTCTGTTGTGGTGTTATCGATCTTGCCATATCTTAATTTTAATTTGCTCTTCACCACTGGTAAAGACTATATGTACTAAAAAAGTCAAAACACGGCTCACAATTGAAAAAAGAGAGAGCATTTAAAAGTACAGTCCAGAGAATGTACCTGTATGATACATACAGCATGTGACCATGCTTCCATACTCGGGCGACCAGATCAAACGATTCTAGCTAGAATGTGGCAAAATTCAGAGAGCCTAGCTAGTCTCCATCTGCTCATCGGTGCACCACCGCTCGCCGGACGGAAGGATCTCTCTGCACCGGGGCCGGGGACGACGTCGATCGGATCTCCTCCCTCACATGACGTGCGGCATCGTGCCGTAGGGTTTGCTCTTGATCCCCATCATCCTGCGCGTCCTGGTGATGAAGTGGTCCCGTGGCTTGACGGCGCCGGGGATGTGCCCGATGAGCGTCATGAACGGCAGCTCCGCCAGCGCGTCGCGGTGGCCGAGCGTCACGGTCATGGACGTCCTCGGGGACGGCTTGTACCGGTGCAGCTTCTCCTCCCGGGTGGCGCCCTTCACCAGCAGCCGGAGGTTCCGGGACACCACCATCGCCTGCCGCTGCGCCAGGTGGCCCTGCTTCGCCTCCGGCACGTCCGTGATGTCGCCGACGGCGAACACGTTCCGCAGCCCGCCGACGCGGAGGTGGCCGTCCACCCGGAGATGGCCTTCCTCGTCCACATGCTCCCCAAGGAGCGTCCCCTTGAGCCACCCAGACGCCACGGGCCGGCCCGTGCACACGAAGTGGGCGTCGGCCTCCACCGTCTGCCCCGCCGACGTCGTGAACTCCCGGGTGTCCGGGGTCGCCGACGCCAGGTCCACCGTCTGGTCCAGAAGCACGGTGACGTTCTTGGACCGCAGCCACTCCAGCGCCTTGGCCGACGCCCGGGCGCCCATCACCTTGAGCAGCCGCGGCGCGCCGTGGACGAGGGTCACGCTCTTCTCGGGGCTCTTCATCACGATCTCCGCCGCCAGCTCCACGCCGATGGGCCCGCCGCCGACGATCAGCACCGACCGGGCTCCGTCGATCCGCTCCTTGTCGTCCTGGAACATCTCCAGCCGCTCCGACTGCTTCTGCGGACGGTTGCACGTGCGCCCCGTCGCGATCACCAGGAAGTCGTACGCCACGGCGCGGCCGATGGAGGTGAGCACCACGGAGTCGTCCACGCCGACGGCGAACGCGGTCACCACCTTGGCGTGCGTCAGGTAGTCGGAGTGCGGGATGACGGTGCGCTCCACCGCCGCCGGGTCCACCTTGGCGCGCAGGTTCGCCCACGGGATCTCGAAATACTCCTTCCTGCATGCAGCACGGATGGATCCATGGACATGGAGCGCGCGTCACCGGCCATGCATATCAAGAGCAAGCATGGATCATCCGATCCACCATCCATGCGCGCTGAGAGAAAATCAAATGTGCATCCGACCAAACGGCGAAATTGAGCTCACGGGTCGATGAGGACGACGTCGGCGTGGTTCTCGAGCGTCTTGGCGAGGAGGGCGCCGGCAATGCCGCCGCCCACGATGACGACGCGGTCGCCGGTGGACCTTAGCATGATGCACGCCTGTTGGAGCCCTGCCTAGCTATAGTTCGTCGCGTCGAGGAAGTGCATGCGACGAACAACTCAATTGATCGGTGATCGATCGAGATGGATCGACGCTCCATCCGCTTCTGCGTCGTTGACGTTCTTATATATGGATGGATGAAGGAGGTTAATTTGGCGGGAGCTCGTGAGTTTGCTTCGTTTCGGGTTTTTTCCCCTTCTCGTGCTCAATTGTCATGAGAAGGGCCCACATGCCAATGAGCTAATCGGCCAGGAGATTGCTAAATCGAGCTTCCCAAAAATAGGACTGCTAGATGCTAATTGCTGCTAGCCAGAAAAGTGTACTTGCTAAGCTTGTCCATTATATTTTATCATTTCAACTAGGTTGAAGTTGGTCACCATGGTCCTAGAACACAACATTCAATTCCGACTTTCTGAGAGCAGCTCAAGGGCTCGTTCGGTTCTTTTGGAACGAGTCCCCGGAACAATTCCAAGTTGAAAAGGTTCACTGATTTGTATAATCTTGATAAGCTAGAACGGTTCCTAGGTTCAATCTAAGCTAACCGAACGGACCCAGAAGTGGTCGTATTAATTGAAGTGTTACACGTTTAACCTTTCATCAACTAGGCTGAAGTTTTGTTCACCATGCCTCCTAGATTTCAGGCATGCCATTGTAGTATGTATTGATGATCTCTGGTGTGATTAGAGGTATGTTTGATTTCTTGCCTAGGCAAGTTTGTCTAACAAGGAAGCAATCCAGACCACTGATTTTGAGTGTCTGGTGGCTAGAATTTGTTGCTTATTCTACAAGACAGCAACCAAACAGGCCCTATTAGCGTGTGACGGTGTGGGGTCACGGTTTGAGATTTTTCTATGCCTATGTAGAAAGGAAGCGGCGAGCAAGGGTGGCAGCAGGTCTGGTCTGGATGGCGGCAGGGGCGGGCCCAGCTATATTCAAGGGTATTCAGTTGAATACCCAAATCTTTTGGCAAATCTTTTTGTACATATAGTGTTTATATATGTATTGTATATTGAAAAAGAAAGAAAGAAAAGTATATAAATGAATAATCTGTAAAAAATTCAGCCCAAAAACGCTGCTACTCACCTTCCTCCTTAGTCCCCACCTGCTAGCCCAACAGCCCAAATACGACCCAAATACTGCCTGCGTATCTCTCTCTGTGTTCGCCACGCATCACCAATGCTTCTCTTTTTATTTTCTCATCAGCTCCCGACGTCTCAATATTCTTAGCTAAATCTTTTTTTTTTGCGTAAAATTCTTAGTTAAATCGATGGCCTGTCTCGTTCAGGGTGGTATATACGACTCTGAAAGATGGATGGAGGCATACGTATCACGCATGCCCATCAACTAGCAAACCAACCTCTGCCCGTCGGGGCTATAGGGCCCATGAGAAGTGACCACGATAGAAGTATCGATGGTCCTCGCTCTCGTACTCCGATAGCATAGCTGGCGCTCCCTTCGACTGTTTGATCGGCCTGTGCCTTCGAGGATAAGTAGTTTTGAGCCGCAGATAGGATGTAGGCTTCACCGGGCTTAAGAAAATGAATCCACAGCCACCAATGCCAAATCTAAGGACCTGCTTCAACTGACGTTGACGATTAACCCGAACTGCTTCGCCACTTCTATGTCTGTATAGAAACAGGAAAGCAGATTCATGAAGAACAAAAACTTGCTCTGTAAATACAACACGGCAGCCGTCCTGAAAATATGCGTGGAAGGCACGTGTCGGCACCCGCTTTCGGGGGAGTCTGCGATGGCCACGGAGGGAGCCTGCATGCGTTCCAGCTCCCAGCAGGTGGGCCCACAGCGCAGGCGGTGGGGTCCACGTCGTACCAGCAGTGGGGAGGCACGACCGGGCCAGGAGAGGACGCGCGGGCCCGATTGGATTGCGGCGGCGGCGAACGGCGCGGTGTCGAGGCCACGGGGGAAAAGTGCCGCCCCCTCGCCCTCACCGTCGCTGTGGCACTCATGGCCACAAGCTCTGGCATGGTGGGTCCAGAGTAGGCATCGCCAGCCACCGTGGAGCCGCCGTTGTCGCTTGCCGATGTGGAAGACGCCCGCGTGAGCCTCCGTCTTGACGAGCAGCAGCGCCAACTCGGGTGGGGCGCAGTGGACGAGCTCGTCGTTGACCTCCTCGCCCTTCCTTGGTGACGACCAGGCCATCTCGCCCATGGCTTCACCACTGTGCCCCGCGACCGCGCCCATGGCTTCACCGCTGTAGCTCCGGATGGAGATCCAGCGGATCCGGAAGTGCCGCAGGCACCTGCGCAGGGACACAGACGAGCACCGCAGCACTGCCGTGCACGCGTACTGCTGGTCTTGGTCGCCGGTGTTGATGATCTTGGTCGCCGGTGTTGATGAAGGTGTTGCAAAAGATGCTACTTCCTTGGCTCGATTTGGTTGGGGGCGGCACCATGCGGCCCACAGATTCTTGGAGCAAGCAAGGATGGAGCACATGAGAAAAGAAGGGCATTATTGTAGTACTCACCTCGTTGCTTTGGAGGGAACTCTCTCCGGCCGCCATGGCCGCAAGAAGATTGCCCACCCCCAAAAGGACGAAGGTGAGGAGGACAGTAGTCCTCAATACACCCATCCGGCCGCCCGTTCGGTTAGGGCCTGTTCGTTTCGTCTGATTCCCGGACAGATCGCTTCCTGGTGGTGGGTGGCCCGTATAAAATACGTCAATGTTCCTGGCCGGATCCGTTCCGGCGCTCCATTCCGTGTGAAACGAACGTGCCCTTAGGGAGATTCCTGGCCAGGAATCGTTCCACTCATTCAGGGTTTGTTCGTTTAGCCCTTATTTTACCCGGATTCATTCTAGGTGATCAAATATAGTATAAATTAGCACAACGTTCCTGGTTTGGAATCGTTCCCGGCTCCATTCCGTATGAACCGAACGGGCCCTCACGGTTATATAAATTTGACTACCATTCCTGGTAGGAACGGTTCCGTGGCACTGTTTCCCCATAACCGAACAGCCTAAGGGAACTACTGGAGGAGAGGGGGACCGGCCCGCCTACCCTCGTCGCCGGCGAGCTCGCCAGAGAAGAAGGCAGGGGGCCGGAGGAAAGCCACTGAGGGCGCTCTCTCACTGGGAGACTCGGGTAATATGGCGATGGCACATATATAGGGCGTGTTCGGCTGGCTTGTTCCGCCACTCACGAAATCACTGTTCACGTCCTGTCAGAACAATATTTTTCTCTCACAACAATCAGCCGGAACAGTATTTTTCAGTCCTGCCGAACAGGCCCATAGCCCATGGATCCGATGGTGGAAGCTGCCAGAAACAAAAGGAGGAGAGCAGGGTGGGGTGATTGCGGCGGAGAAATGTGTAGTACGTGCAACCTTAGTTTAAGTGTGTAAGACACACTTTTGTGCCTGGTGAGACAAACAAGAAAAAGATAGTAACAGTTTCCTCACAAAGCACTGAGCATGAAGCCATCGATCAGCATGCAACGTCGAAGCCAAAGGCAGAAGCAGAACACACTAGACCATCACTAGAATTCACTTTACAAAATCATTAAGGTACGTACAGGAACGTTAATACAAATATACAATGAACAAATTGTAAACACAGCTACTATCTGCATGGATCCATCATCTGGCACGGGACAGATCATCATCGAATTGGATGCCAAAACGAAGAGCGTACGTAATGCATGTTCCAGTCTTAACACCGGCCGGTCTGGACGACACCCGACTGATGAGCGTGCGTCACTTGAAAAGGGCGACGACGGGCAGGAACGCGGCGAGGACGAGCGCCGCGCAAGCGCTGGCGGATGCGCCGCCGCGGGCCTTGGCGCCGCCGGAGAGGTACAGGTAGTAGTACGGGTTGGACGACGACGGCGACGAGAAGTGCGAGGGCGCAGACGGGGAAGACGACGACGAGCCGCTGCCACCGTCGCCGCTGCTGCTCTTCGGTGGCGGCGGCGGGGGTGGTGACGGCGGAGGCTCCGACGACGAAGAAGGCGGGGTCGAGCACGGGGACTCCGGCGCCGGCGGGCTCGTTAGTGGCATGACCGGGGGCAGAAGGTCGTTCACTTCCCCCGGCGGCGGCGGGGGCAGCACCAGCTCCAGGTACGGCGGTGGGGGCGCGGACAGCGGCAGCAGCGCCAGGGCCGGCGGCGGAGGCGCGGTCATCGGCAGGATGGTCGGCGGCGACGCCGTGCAGATCGTCGGGCACGTCCCGCACTTGCTCACGCACAGCTGGTTCGTGTCCGGGCTCCCCACCGCCGGCTCGCCCTCGTCACCGGCGACGACGACCGAGAAACAGCACGAGGACACCAGCATCAGCGACACCACTGCCACCAATGACGACACGGCCGCCCTTCTTCCCTCCATTGCCGGCTTGCCGCCGCCTAGGTAGCTCGATCGCCGACAAGAAACGCAGGACACACTGATGCGCTTGCTTGCTTGCGTAGCTAGCTGCGTTGCGTGTGCTCGCTTTCACAGGTGAGATTCCCGCGAAGCTGGTGGACCTCTTGGTTTATAAGACGGAGGCTGGAGCGCTGCAGGCCCAGCGCGGCAAAGAAATGTGCCAAACTTGAGGCGCAAGCTCCAGCGGAATATTAAGTGGGCTGAGTGAGATGAGAAATGCTGGTTGTAAAGGGAGATGCTCTTGAAATCGGCAGCAAGGAATTGCCGATTCCTCTTACGGCGCAGATTAATCCCAACAAATCCGCAGCTTAGGCTTAGGCTTAGCCTTCATGTGCATCTCCAGTTGGGTGAAATGATAGGCCACAGAAAGTATTAAGGAAATAGGTCAAAAGATTTCCAGTGAATGATGATTCGTTGATGCTTTCCAGAGTACAAGACAGGCAAAGGATATATGCTGAATTGCTGCTGTGTACTAGAAAAAAGACAAGGTGTGCTTCCTGCATTCCTGCTGGTTCCTGGTTCAGTTTCCAGGCAAGCAAAATGCTGGGTGATGATCGCTGATGTTTGGTGCTCTATTTTAGTTAACGCAATGTAAACCAGTATTGGGCAACTTGAAAACCTTGTACTTTGAACATTCGACTTTTGGAGCCACTCAATCAATATGAAAATCAGGTGGGGGATCCTCTCCCTCCCCGTCGACTTATCAAAAAAAAAATGCTGGATGATTGGATTGGATCAAACAAATCTCAACTGTCCTGCATACAGGTGGGCACTTTATCGAGAAGATTACTCACAGGATTAACCAAAAAATGATATGGCACGGTCCCAATGGGAAAGACCTGCTGACTGTAAGGCTGTTCTAAGTTGTACAACAGTGTCTGTTCTTGTCATAGTAGTAATTACAAGTTACTACTATTATAATGGCAACAAAATGGGTGAATAAGCTGTACAGGCTCTGCTTTCTCACTCCACAAACATCTAAGTACATAGACGAAATCGGGTGGTTGCACCGTTTTCCTAACCACCACCAGTTTACCCTCTGAACATTTGTCAATTGGATGTACTTCACAAAATAAGGCTTGAATGCCAACAAACACTAGACATAAAGACTAGAGTTCACCCTTGTACAGAAAGGCTAACCATGGAAGGGAAAAGTTTTTGCCAGCCTTCAGTCTTACCAGTCCAATTGCCCACACCTGGTGGGAAGGAAGAATCAAAATACAGTTACAAATTAACGCCTGTCACGAGTCAGTTTCTGCTTCTGTTGTTGTAGCTGATTTCAGCTTTGGCTTACAAATTGTCCCTTAACTCTTGGCCTTTGCTCTGCAAGCTTCTTCCTGCTATGATATCTAACCTGTAGAAATGAAATACTAAAGGTTGAGTTGATAAAGAAACAATTCGGTAGTCATTTAATGACTAAAAGGGTTATCAAATGAAATACCTTTTTCTCGAAGCATCTATCTTTCCTTTTCATGCGAAACTTCATCAACGCGGCTTCACGGCGAGTCCTATCACTGTTTTGGATGCCACTTTCGTTGCCACTCTCTAGGGCAACCATTGTATGTGCATTGATATCGGCTTCACCACTACCCGCGCATCCACTTCCTTTACAGATATCTTGGCTGCAGCTTGCACTCTGGTTAGCATGATCCATGTGAGCTCTTGCCATGTCAATTGGTTCTCCTGATTCACGAAGAATTTGTCTTGAATGATGCAACTGGTGGTTTTCCTCTGACTGTTTGTGCTCATCAACCTGAGATGGTTTACCAGGAGCTTCATGGTAATTAGATTGACCAGAGGCGTGCTGGATTGCTGCCGTGTTGATTCCAGCTGAATCACAGTGCATAAGAGGACCCTGTGGGTAGTATACTGGCTGCAGAATTGCACCATAATGGTAGGGCATCCCAGGACCGACAGGAATTGGAACAGGTATAAACCCATATGAGGGATGGCTCATACTGTCCTTTCTATGGGAAGAACTACTTGCACCAGCATCTTCCCTAGCACTGCTGGAACACATGATGGCAGCACCCTCCGTGCTACTGTCCAAAGTAATTCGAGCTTGCCTTGTACTCTCACCTGTATTATGTTCATTGGGAGGCAGCAACACCCCATTGGGTTGGAAAACTGGGTCCTTGCCCTGAACATGCTCTTGCCCAGTGGTGCAGAGAGAAGGAAAAAACTGTATCTCGCCTGATGGTTCTATCCTTTTATTGCCATATCTGTGTCATGTTGAAGCGATGGACAAGTACAATAAAGCTAGTCAGAGTTATGCAACACATTTGAGGAGTTACTAACATCAACTAATGGGTCTATATGAGTACTAAAACATGTAACCTCATAAACAAACAAATGGGCATGGACAGAAAGCCATGGATTAACAGATAATTTCCAGCCACATTCAAGGACTAGATAGGCAATCAGAATTTATTTAGACTAAAGTTTAGAACCCATCAGCACAAAGTACCTTGAAAAGGCAGAGGAATTCGAGTGATTAAAGATATCTTTTTCCCTGAATTCTTGGTTTTTGTAACCATTAAGATGGTGTTGCTTTCCCAAGTTGGCCTCCAGAAATTGGGAGGGGGAAGAATCAGCATGACCTATTGCAGCACCCTTCATGACAGCATTATTTTCCATGACTGAAGATTGGCATTTTCTGTCAGCTGCTGGCTCAGTCATACCCAAATCTTTGACAAGATTGCTTGGACGACGTGAACTTGTATCCGTGATCCTCCAGGCATTATCCATAATTTGCTCAGCCACTTTTGCTGAAGTAATACCGTTAAGGCATTTGGGACACACATTCTTCTCACTTCCACTTGGAGCACCTACATGCGATGAAATGACAAAATACCATTAAGGCAAAATAGAGTGGTGCACACTAACTCACTAATAATAGAGCACAAGTTAACATAAAATTATGTAACCAGGTCTGAATTCCTTACCATCGCTATCTTTTGACGCATCCACTTTTGTGTTTACCCCATCATCATAAGACTTATTTTGTGGTTCAATTTTTTTGGATGAACCAGCCACTTCATCTCTACGAATCTCTGGTAACTTCTCAACACTCTGAATTTCAGCCGCCCTCTTGCTACCAAAGCTCTGATCAAGACAAAACAGTCTATAATAATGTAACATGGCAAGGAAAACCAATATGAATGTCAAGGATATATCAGAACTGTATAAAGGATGAAATGATGAACTCTAATTGATTCCATTAAACAGTGCCAGTTACAGTCACTACGTAAAGTCAAGAAAAAAACCATCATAGAAAAGGACATGTCTCTAAATGTTATACTGTCAAACTTTACTACTTTCTATTAAACTGGCGTTGTCAAGCTAAGCAGGAATGCAAATATGCAACTGAACACATGCATTAATGCCAGTTGAACAGATAAGGTGTAAGCAAGGATCTATACTTACTTGGGCATCACTTTCCTCATCGCTGTTTTCTCCTGTCTTTGACCCATTAGCAACATTGGCACTTATATGATTGCTGGCTGTACTATTTTCTGATCCATTTGTCTGGCAATTCATCTGCATTCAATTCTTAATGCCTAAGTATCCCAAAGAAAAACTATAAATCAACAGTATATAACAGATAGATGATAAAAGCTAAATTGGCTACATGACCATTCTCCAGTTTTTCACCAAGGATCTCAGATAACTACTTATATATAGTTCATAAAGCTCCAAGAAAAAAGACAGCCAAACTAAATCCAGATAGGTTGACAAATAAAATCAAACAAAGCATTTGGATAAGGCTACATTTTGCGGCATGCACCAATATGCCATGGCAAAAGGAAGCATGTTCTTAAAGACCTGCAGAAAAAGAACTTACTGCATGCCGCCTCCACACATGTTGCCATAAGTTACGCAGCTCGTTCTTTCTCACTGGTTTCACAAGGAAGTCCACTGCACCCTTCTGCATGCATTTGAGCACTGTGCCAATAGAATCTTGGGACGACATCACTGCCATAGGCAACAAGTGCAAAACCGATGAAACCCATAACAAATCTAAATATTAGATTCATCAATTCTCTTAATTCAAGGCCGCTTGTGATGCATGTATGACATTATGTCAGATATTAGCTGTTAGAGTACGTCAGGGGCCTATTGGGCCTGGGTTGGCTGTATAGCCCATTAGTGTTAGGGTTAATTAGAGATAAGGGTCGCTTACTTAAGGGTTAAGTAAGTCTTGCTTGGGAGTCAAGTAAACCTCTCTGTATAAGGAGAGGAGATGTATCGATCTAATCAAGCAAGAATTAAGAAGGAAACCCTTCCCTCTTGCCCGGCCGTGGGCAAACGCCCCGCGGCCGGCTCTCTCTCTCACCCTCGCAGCCCTAGCCGTAAACAGTACCCGCGGGTACTGTAGCACCGCGGGTACTGTAGCGCGTCCACCGCCGTCGCTCCCCTCGCCTCTCTCTCTCAATCCTCCAGCCACATAACAATCTGGTCCCACCTGGACATGCAGCTCGTCCTCGAGCTGCAACCTAACGAACTTATAACGCTGACTCGACTCCTAACACCTAAAAGCAAGCCTCTTACATCTTGGCTTATTTTATTATTCTCAATCTGAAATAGACTAGGACTCTTTATTTTTGACTCCTGAACATAAGGTGGACACCATCCGCCTCCTGGATCCCATGGACACCATCTAAACGAAAGGGGTGCATGTGCATGGCCACCTAGAAGTGGTCGCAACAGCGACCATGCGACGGGGCTACGTGGTGCGCTCTCGCTGGTGACCCCACACCTTCTCCCCGCCAGATGGCTGCTGGTCTGCACCGCACAGAGAAGAGCGGAGGGCTTCCGATGGAGAACGAGATGGAGGGATGCGCCTCCCCAACTGCTGCCCGCAGGGAAAATAGCATGCCCGCCGCCCGTGGGGGAAACCGCATGCCCGAGATCCCCGACGTAGCGGACGAGATCGAGGTCCTCCGCGCAGCTAAGCGCAACTG